CTCCCCTTCCCCCCCCACGCTCGCGCACGCGCGTTCTCTTCGGTTTCCCACCGATGGACTCGACTTGTCGAAGTTTCTTCGAGGTCCACCGAAGGGGTGTGCCTTGTGTGTCGGGTGTCCCCTCTGTCTCACACCATCCCCAGTGTAGCTAAGACCGAACAAGGCTGACGATGCTTGCGGCAGATGGGCTCGCGGGATGGTCACTCGAGAAAATTGCACCTTGCAGGTCCTAGACGGGTAGCCTCCATTTACGAAGGTGATGGGACGGACTCCTTGTTCCGTCACACCATACTAATCAATACCCATTGACCACTTGTGACATCAGCAAGTATTGCAAACATGCGCTATCGATTTGCTGATTGCAAGACGATAGGCGAGATTGAACCCCTCACCATGTGGCTTTTGCGCAACCACTGTAGAGATACCGTAAGATTTTTGGCGCACGGTAGTCTTGCCCGAACAGTGACCAGCAATCGTTGGAGATGGTAGCGCCTGGCATATGCGAAGATGGCCATAAAACTGATTGTATGCTCAGATCAATTTTCTTCTCTGGCAAAGCGATCAACCGCAGGATATCTCGGAGAGTTGAAAATTACTATCATGGGGAAGGGATTGAATTGGCGTTTCCATATACCGTAAACGGTTGAGACGTAATTTCGTTTGCAAGAAAACAGCTTGTTTTCGGATAACTCAGTGGCACCTTCGAGACCCTTTCTTGATATTAAAAAACTTTATCTTTTGGTATGTTTTTCAGCGAGATTCGAGACATTCCCATAAGAGATAACAACCTTGTCAGCTACGGTACTTAGGCGCTAAGAAGTTACAGAAAAACCTTCCCATGATACTTCCTATCAAATGCCCTCAAACTTGTGCAGAAATTCTGACACTAGACAAGGCCCTAAAAACTGGTCTCTCGAAAACTTCACCGAATTGGTCGTTGTATCGCAATAGCCGAATTTCCAGTTAACGACGACACACTTGTAGAGCAGGAGGCATTTTCAAGATTTCTGATAAAACTGCAGGAAATTCATTGTACTCTTGAAATATAACATAAACACTGACTTTCTTCGAGAAGATACTTTTTATAACACCACATATAGTTCAAGACCGTAAACCACCGCTTAACTTATGTGGAACCTTTCAAAAAGAGGGTCCCCAGAAAGCTAGATGAAGTTGTAATTGAGGTTTTAAATTTTTTCTTCTAGATCGTTCTAAAAGCCCAGAAAATTTGGTTAAGTTACCAGTCGCGTCAAGGTGGGCCGAGCGGACTGTTGAGGTTGCTTTCAACATTCTCAGCGTGATAAGTAGGAAAGAAGTGGACAAAAACTCAAATGATATCCGTCCTAGGATGGTTCAAAAGCCGTCGAAGTACGTTTAGGAATTAACAAAGAACTAGATGTCGGACTTTTGTGATGGATGGAACATACACAAAGGGGGCACAAAGCTAAATACCAGAACCTCTCTGAATCATCCCTCTAAGCCGGGTAGAAGAGATGGTATGAATTAGTGGAAGCTGGAGATAAAATGTTCGTAGTAGCTGAACTGGGCTCGTAAAAGGGATGAAATGAACTCGAGAATCGCGATCTCGTCCCAGGACATTCTAAAGACCAAGGAAAGGTGAGATGGATAGGTTTTACAGAAGGCTTTGTCAGAGGCGCAACTAGGCAAACTTAGCCGTAATCATAAACCACAAACTCAGCCCCAAGGATAGATAAGGAAAAAGGGATTGAAATTTTATGACTATGGAGCAGATTGCCAAATGTTATTGAAGGATAGTCGTTCACCGCATCTAAAAAGGAAATTAGCAGGGAGCCTAATTCGTCTATAGCCCAGGAAAATGAAAAGATCATCAAGCAAACAGTAGATCTATGTATGTAGCTGAACACAAGTCAAGCGGACTTTGACCTTCCTTGCTCCACTCATTTAGACGGAACAGTGGAGTAATCTGGTAAAACAACTCTTATTCACCTTTGAAAAACTACTTATGAAAGTTTCTGACCAGTGAGAGGAGCTACCTTGGAACGTCGACACTGGAGCTGATGGAACTGCGCTGCGAACGCCGATCACACGAGAACTATAACCGAATGTTTGCCCGGGCTCGATCAACTTCGAAATAAACGGATGTGGAGGACACAAAGCCATCGTCTCGGATTCACTGTAAAGGTTGACCTAATTGCAACGGGTATCTGGAGCACGAGGGAGCGAATACAGGGTTAGGGTCGATCTTTTGCCAGGACAAAGGGGGAGAATATTTAGAGACATATACACGGAGACATCAAGCATATTTCGATGCGAACACGTCAGTTGATTAAGGGGGGAGGGTCACGGAGAACAATCATTGAGAGTAGTCCAGTGAGAGCTAAGAGAATGACAGGCAGACTACTGACGCCACAGAAGTCTAGTGGTCATCAAAGAGGCTCAGAATTTCGTGTTCGAAATTGTTTAGCTTAACAATAGCAGTTGAACGGAGCAGTTCATTATAGGTAACGTCGAATTTCGCGACAGGATACGTCCTCAAGCTGAAATGGTGCTGAACTGTTGTAGTCTCTTGCCGAATATCGTCTGATTTGCCGATAAGGCTTTACTAGAACTCAATAGAACTCAGTAGACTCGTCGCGGCGACTTGTTCTTCGGTCAGATCACGAGTAAAATTCTACGGAACCTCTATGTTTTGAGAATTACGAGCTAGATCCTAGCGATCGAGATTATAGATAACGCTGGAGTAGTGCCGACAATAGGAGCCATTGAGGAAGTAAGCAATTTCCACACAAAAGAAATTCCTGGGAAAGATGCGAGTTGCAAAGATGACCATAGACTGACTCTTTAGTGATCATCATCTTAAATTATGGAGTTGCTGGAGTTAGAAGGTACGGGACCCCAGCTTCCATTTCTTCAAAAATACAGGTCCAGGATGCGCCACTGCAGTCGTCCAGAGAAGCTGGCTCATTGTACAAACGGCGACCAGATCTTGTAGAAATGGCAAAGTGAAAAAGATCATTCAGACTCATTCAAATTTCCGAAGACTACAATGATCTATTGCACTTCCATCTGCACTACGTTAAGGACGAGTTGCATAATTTTAGAAGACGTTGGACTAGTAAGAGGTCGGATAACCTGGTCTCATCAGCCTACAAACAGAGCTGCATCCAATACGGGAGACGTCTTCAATTTTGTCAAGGCACTAGTCGCTTAGTATTAAACATTTCATGAAGTTCCGGGCATTATCAAAGTTGGCAACTACCAGTTTTCCATATCGAAAGTTATCGAGCAAGATGAACGTAATCCATTCACAACAAAAAAAATTCGTAAACTGTGTAACCCCAAACCGTGCTCTGACCGTTTCAGTAGGAGGGAAGTAAAGTACAAACTACATTCAGGTAACTTTAGCACGCCTTACTCCATACTTCGATGCTAGATGGGAAACATGCACGATGAAATGACTGAATGCAGAACTGTAGTAGCGGCTCTCACATCCTCTCCCAACCCAGGCTCCCTGTCCAAAGTCCACCAAAAATCAATGTGTGTCAGCCACCCAAAGCCATATTGATCCCTCGATTTCAGCTGATTCTACTGTTTGCTGGATGTTGTTCTAGCGCAACAAACTTTTAGAAAATGGAAGTAAAACCAACAGTTTTCGCAGTTGAAATACCTCTCAATTCAACTATACACTATTTTCTCGAAGAAAGCTAGTGTTTAACATGCTTCAAGAGTACAAAATAAACTTCCCTCAGTTTCATCTGAAATTTGAAAATACTTACTGCGCTGCAAATGAGTAGTCGTTCCGGAAACCTCGACTACTAAGTTGTTCCGACCGCTTCGGTGAAATGTTTAAGAGACTCGATTCTCTAAGCTATGTGTGGAGTCAGAACGTTTCCATGAGCTCTACGACACCAATCATGAAAAGGTTCTCACGTAACTTCTTAGCACCTAGGTTGATGCAGAAGTCTTGAGACACTAGTTTACTGCTATCGCTTTTTACAAGACGCTTTGCCGACCTCAGACAATCGCCTTATTCTAGAAGAGACTCAGTTATACCTCCAGTGATATTTGGATTGGTACCCGGACGCTCCTTCCCTAAGCCACATCGCAATCGACACGAAATCATTTTTGAGGAATCCGCTTTCCGTGAATAGGTCCGCTTCTTCAGTGATTGCTCCGCGTACTCCAACATCACCAATGCATTCGGAGAGGAACTCGCCAGCCATGTGACCGTCAGCCGTACATTCGCTCCCTTTTATTATGTTGGTACGGCGCTAGTCCACAATCTCCTGCACGACGACCGGTCGCTGTTGATAATGAGTGACTTTTCTGAGAAACGAAGAAGAGTCTTGGGGCCATGAGAAGGGAACTGTTAGAGCTTCTCGAGCGCGATCAGAGCAGTGTCGTTCGTGACCTCACGAATACGATTACAGGAAAGTTTTTATTATACCTAATGGTTCCGCACCTGCCGACGGCTATCTCCTTCACACACATGCTCCAATGAGTTGCTCATCCCTCCTTACCTCCAAATCAAAGAAGTTTCTGCAGTATCCGGTGACGGCAGTCTTTGTCGGTTTCGCGAAAAGAGGAGATCCTCTCGTATGCCTAAGTTAGAACAGTACCTGGGAGGGGGTTCGTTGTGCTGCTTCTAAAACCCGAAGGAAATTCTACGCTACGCTACGACTTGCATCCTCAAAGCCACACAGTTACGGCTACCACATTCAGCAGTCGGCTCGAAGACCTCGATGCTGCAATAGAAGAGAAACGACCGAGAAGAGGTTCTGTCCATCTTCCGAATGATAGTGCTTATCCTCAAGTCGTCAAGACTACAAAGTCGAGGTAACAAGAGTTTAGCCAAAATACCCGTTCTAAAACTCCTTGACACCGCTGTTTCTAGGAAAAGAGAATAACCGACGTGCTCCTTGGTCGAATCGACGTCGAAGATAGTAATGACAACTATATAGTTCAATTAGAAAGGCTTTAAATAAAGCTAAAAACAAATTTTGCCAGTGTCTCGAGGCTTTTGCATCAACTGATGTAATTTTCTTTATGTAAAAGCTGCACATCATTTAGAACCCGCACCCTTTTAAACAGCTATGACATCTCGTGAAAGCCCTGAAGCTGACAAGCTTGTCATCTCCTAAAAAGTTGTCTCATATTTCGCTGAAAAAACATACTGGAAGATATTGTTTTGGGACCAAGAAATTGTCCCGAAGGTGCCATCAAGTGATCCAAAAACATAAGCTGTTTTGAACCGCAAACGTTAAAACAGTCTCAACGTTCACTGTACCTTGAACCACCTATTCGATCCCTTCCCCGTGACAATAACTTCCAACTTACCAAGATATCCTGCTATTGTTCGCTTTACCAAAGAAGAGAACTGATCAGAGCGTACTATCAGTTCAATGGCTACCTCCACATATCCCAAGCGTGCCCATCTTCATCGATCACTTGTCACTGGCCAGACAGAACTAGTGTCCACCAAAAATCTTACAGCAACTCTACAGTGGTTGCGCAAAAGCCACATGGTGAGGGGTCCACTCTCACCTATCGCCTTGCAACCACCAAGTAGGTGGCGCATTTTTACAATACCTGCTGATGTCACCAGTGCTCAATGGGCATTGATTAGTATGGTTTACACGGGAACAAGAAATCCGTCCCATCACCCTCGCAAAAGAAGACTACACGTCTAGGATTTGCAAGATGCAATTTTCTCGAGCGGTCATCCCGTAAACCCATCTGCCGCAAACATCGTCAGCTAATGTTTGGCCTCAGTTACACTGGGGAATGGTGTGAGACAGAGGGGACACCCGACACGCAAGGCACGCCCTGTCGGTGGACCTCGAAGTCGAGTCCATCGGCAGGAAACAGCGCAGGGATTCATTGCGGAAGGGATATTTTCTTCAGAAGGTACATGACCTTCTGTATCCTCAGAGAAAACTTAGGGTGGGTATCACAGGGTGATTGATTAGTGTGGGCACCTAGACAAAACTATTCCTAAACCTAGCCCCCTATTTAGTTCCCTAGTCGTTGTTCCCACACTCAACCGCCTCAGTCCGTCAAATTCTGCCGCCATCACGTTGCACTTCGGAAGGAAAATAGCAGCCGCCCTCTAACAAATAGAGCCAAAGTTGTTGTTGAAATGAAATGTTCGGGAACTAGAAAGTCACGGTGGCCCACCACCCAGGAATACAGACCCAGTGTTCTAAAAACAAAAACAAAGGATGGTAGGGAAAAAAGTAAAAGGTGACAGTGGACTCCCTGGACCTTGAACTATCAAAAGAAAGTCGAAAGATTAACTATAGCAAAACATAGGGTAAAATAGCAGAAACTTGGTTTACAATAACCCTTTCTACGTGCTCCGACACCACCCCTCCTCTCCTTGCCCCCTCCCCTCACTTTCACTTCCCCCCACTCCCTTAACCGATTCCCCTTGTCAATGATTTTTGATTTGTTGACTAAATATATAAGAATGGAGTTTTTAATAAAAATTTGGCTGCAATCCTCGTTCCGAGCACATGGTGACTGCAGTACTTATTTGATGTCAAGAGACCTAAGTTAGGGAAGGACCACCAGGGTACTGCTAATCAGTAAGTAATTAGTGACCCCCTTAACAATGACAACAGATAACTTACTAACTACAGAAAAGATACCTAATAACTATTAAAAAACAAATAATTATAAAAAATAAGTTAGCCAGTCAGTCATAGTCAGTTAGTTAGTAAAATAGGATACATTAAAACAGAGCCCTAAAAAACCTAACGCCCACACTAAAACAATCACACCTGCCTATCTCAAAAAAANAAAAAAATCTCGGCTCCGACGGCTCCTGCGTTTGCTGTCCACGATGCGCTCGTCCTGCAAAAATAGACAATTAGGACTGAAGAAAAGCACAAAAATCAAATTAACACACTTTTCCATAGGCCGCTGGCATGAGAACACTAATCCACGCCGCTGTATCCGCCGGGAGAGCAATTCCTTCCAAGTTCTTTTTCGGTGTAGACGGTCAAAAGCACTTCCAATTGATGTTCTCGTGTCATAACAGAGGTGATTCTTCCATGTGCCCACTTCCGGTTGGCGTCCATCCATTCGTTTCACTGTTGTTCGAACGTAGGCAGCGTGCCGTTATAGGAAATCGCTTCGGACGAGGTAGACGGCAGCTGACTTGTAGAGAGCCGAGCCTATCTAAATCATGTGTTTTGACAAATAGGCCCACCAGAGGTGACAACAATCGCATACCCCTGATCCCCGATCGGATCACCCATTAGCAGGATAGGTGGCTGCTGGCTACTTCCGGCTGAACTGTCGGGACCTGAACATGTAGATTTACTGGAAAAGAAACGTTATCACATTAATTGAAGCAGACGTCCGCACCGAGACGATTTCGCGGCGAACCAGTCCCAGATCCCGCGTACTTTTGAGTAGCTTCTTACGTATCAACGTTGTTTGAAACTTTCTCGCCTAGGTTTGACATCTAAGCAGTAAGACGGCAAAGTGGCCCAGATGAGAAATTTGCCGGTCTCGATAAGAACGGCGTCAACCTGAATCGAAAGCGAATACCATAAGTCAAAAAGATCGTTTGATGATGGCGTACCTCCGATCCCCGTTTGGATCGCCTTACAAAAGAACTGCTCCGTTAGGTCGACCCGTCATTGTAATCCTCAACAGACTCAAATTGCCAGGTAGACGGAGCTTCACAATCTGGTTGAACGACTCATTTCCAGACTCCACAGAAAAAAGGCCATTCTGTACGAGGAGAGTATCAACCTGAACTAGAGCCATGAGAATCCAGGCAAAAAAAGTCGTTCGATGGTCTCGCACCTTCGAACCCTGTTTCGGTCGCCTTTCTACAGAACTGTCCTAATAGGCCGATCCGTACTCCAAGTCCTATCCATGGTGGTGGTAGAGAGAAGGCGATTAGTTTTATGTTTGTCCAGGTCGCAGAATCCTCGAAAGCAAGAAAGAGGTCGTGTATATGAGAACGGCATCAACCTAAATTCATAGCCGTGAGAATCCAGACGAAAATAATCGTTTATGGATCTCGTACCTTCGGTCCCCAATCGGACCGCCTTACAACACAACAGTTCTTATAGATTGATCTGCCTCGTATTCCTCTCCGCATTCATGGTTTTGGTAGACGAAAAGCTTCATAATCAGCTTAACAGCTCAAGTCGCAGATTGCTGAGGACAAAGAATGAGCGCGTGTCATTGTGGGCGTTGTCATCCTGAACTGAAAGCCATAACAAAGACACTTGAGAAGGCGTTCAATATTGACGTACATCCGATCCCTGTTCGGATCACCCTACAACAGAACTGTACTGCTAGACCGATCCGTCTTCGTAATCCTCTCCGCATCCGTGGATGTTGGTGGACGGAAGGCATCACAATTAAGTTTGACAGCTGCACTTTCAAATCGCAGAATATACCATATACCAGCTCGTAATCATATCTGCAAGGACGAGAAACAAAGCGAGCAAGAAGATGACTCAGGGTCATGCGATGCGGTGAACCACGGCTGGTGATATACGATGGGAGAGTGGGAGGTGGAAAACTTCAAATCCAATTCCAGTTCACTTGAGATCCCTCGTTCGCATCCGTATCAAAGGAACACATGAAAAGAGGGGCTTATACAGGGTGAAGCATGAGTCGGTTGGCAAAGTTGTTCAGAAAAAAGTGCAAAAACTTAATAATGAGCGGGGTTCCCGAAAGTGGGACAGAGTTTGCCAGTCCTTCCTTATATAGTTCGCTCTTTGATTCTTTTTCATCGGTACCTCATCCGCACAAAGCTGTAGTTCTTGTCCTTCACGAAGCCGGCCATACTCTTGTCGAAATTTGCCGTAATTTCACGATGCATTTGGACTGCTCGTAGGACACTTCATGACTTTCTTGTGGAGATCGTCCACCCTCGCCAGTCACTGATCGGCTCATAAGAGTGGTCAGGATCCGAATTCAAATCCACCGCAATCCAGCGAGAAGCATGAGGGAGATGGTTGAGGATTTGGGAGCTTCCAGTCGAACGATGAGAAGGATAGTTCATAATAGGCTTCAAATGTACTCTTATAGATTCCAAAGTACAAGCCTCCTATGCTCAGAAGAAAAACGGAGTGAAAAAATACAGAAAACTTCTGAAGAGGACAGCAAACGGTGGCCATCGGAGACTCTCGTCATCGATAAAAAACTTTCCACACTTGAGCCGGTATTCATCCGCCAAAACTCCCGTGCACTCTTTATGGCATCCAAGAAAGCTGATAGAGTAGGAAGAATAGTCACTCGAACTTCACATCCTGCATCGGAGAGGTCGGGCAGGGGTATCGACAAATATGCGTACTCCATTGATTTCTGTAGGAATGGGCTGGAATCGATGCCACCCACTAATTAGAGGTTATTCCGAAGTAGCTGGTCAACTTTGGTCAACTGATCGCCCAAGTATGATTGCATTTTCCAGCAAGACGGTATACCGGCTCATAGATAGGCTCCAGTGCAAAAATGATGCCGTGACGATTTTGCCGACTTCATAACAGCAGATGACTTGCCCGCAAATTCCTCTGATTTGACCTAATGGACCACACGATTTGGTGATCTTGGAGCAGGAGACCTGCACTAAAAACAGTTCAACAGAATGTCATCCAGGCGGCAGTCGAAGGTTATCCGGCTCAGCTCAAGAAATTTATCAAATCCTTGGAGGCCATATTGAGTGATACTGAAAATTGCTGATTTCTTACGATATGTATGAATGTTTCTGTGGTTTATATCAAACTACGATTAAACACCAAAATCATTTTGCCGCCGTATTTATACCCCACCCTATATTTAGGATCATCTGGGAAGGCCAGCTGGAGAGGAGTATTGCACCCTGTGGTGAGGCCATCCTTCACCGCTACGCCAGACCCTGAGTCAACTTATTCGTGATTGCCATACAAAAGGAAGTAATAATGCTTCCACACTTCTGCCGCTAGACGGATAAAATGCCAAAATTGACTGGTGTTTTGAGCTCAAATGAGAGGGCAGAAACGTGAAATTTGCAAAAAAATAATCTTCAAAGCTGCGCTTAGTGTGGATCCTCGTCTTCGTTGAGATCGCAGGTCCTTTCTGCATCGTATCCTCTGTGTGGTTGGCTTTAGTTGATGGGCAGCCTCGATGGTTGTGTAGTCTTGTGCGTGTTGGCCGTTGGTCCCTTGCCTGGTTGGCTGGTCCTTCGCGTAGGTGGCTGGATGATCCTCTGTCTGGTTGGCTGCGCGGTCTTCTGTGGGGTTGACTGCCCCCACAGAAGACCACACCCAGCTCGTTCGCATCACCGGCACCAAAGTACCGATTTCTTCGTCTTCTTCTACACAATTTAAGTACGAATCTCCGGTT